GGCCTGGCCCATCTGATGCCATGTCCCTAGGAGTATGTGACTGTGGGTTGGCTCCTCAGAGGGTCCTACAGAGCAAGAGGGAGCAGGCCTTGTAGTGAATAAACAATCCTCTGATAATTGAACAAATTCATTAAGATGTTTAAACATTGGGACAACCGCTTTGTTTCCATTTTGTATGGAAGTTGAAAACTTCTTTTATTTTAATAAAAAAATCAAAATTGGAGTTATTGGATGTATTGGTTAATCACTGATTTTAGAGTTGTATAGATAATGAAGGTATAGTCTGCCTGAGTGTGTTGTCTGTGTGGGCTGGAGGTACACACTTGAGATACAAATCAGGTGACCCCATATGTGGATGGAGCAGCAGAGCCTATTCATCCCCAGATGAGTGTCTTAGCTGAGAGAGGGGAGCATTCTAAGACAGGAAACACTTGTCTACCCCTTCACAGTTGCCAGTCAGCTGCTACTCACAGCATGATCTAGTATTCTGGTTGGAAGAAAGGAGGGGGAAACCTCCCAGCTGTTTGTTCACTGTCTCCTAAGCTGTCCCCCAATATTCCTCTGGTCCTATGAGGCAGGGCTGCAGCACCTACTCAGGGCAAAGCAGAGCTATCTGGTTTCCTCGGTTGGAGTAGGAGGTGATGGGAAATTATGTCTGCTCTGAACAGGTCTGATGCAGGAGCCACTGCCACAGGCAGATATTGGTAGGTAGAGGTGTCCTGCAATAATGGGCCCATGTGGTATAGATGTATGCACCCAGAGAGAGGTTTTCCAACTTGGACACCATTGGTGGTGCCAGCTGCCAGGCCCATCCCTAGCCTTGTGTAACATGGCAGCTTCCCTGGACAGTGAACTTTGTCTCTGGAACCAAGTCCCAGAGATGAAGCATTTCCATGGCACTTGTCAAAGTCTAGCAAGTCAAGGTCTCCAGGCATGGGTGATCAATTACTAGATAATTTTCTTCCTCCCTCCCTCCCTCCCTCCCTCCCTCCCTCTCTCCCTCCCTCCCTCCCTCTTCCTTCCTTCCTTCCTTCCTTCCTTCCTTCCTTCCTTCCTTCCTTCCTTCCTCTCTTTCTCCCTTTCTTTCTTCCTTTCTTTCTTTCTTTCTTTCTTTTTCTTCCTTTCTTTCTTCCTTCCTTCCTTCCTTCCTTCCTTCCTTCCTTCCTTCCTTCCTTCCTTCCTTTCTTTCTTTCTTTCTTTCTTTTCTTTCTTTCTTTCTTTCTTTCTTTCTCCTATCATCTCTATCTCCAATAAGATGTCACTTGTCACCAGCAGCAACTCAAGTAAAGAAGACAAAACTGAACTGTTTGTTTCATTAGTAGTCGTTTCACTGGAAGCTCCCTCTCCTCATGCAAAGATGTTACAGGCTCTAGGGCCATGATAAAATGTTGAGAATATACCACTTTGGAAGCAGAAGTTCTTATTTTTCCTATGGTTTCTTAAAATGTATTGTCCCTCACTTTCAACATCCACAATAGGCTTTGGATTGTTAAGGCATGAGTGAGAGAAGCATGATGTCCCTGCACTCTGGTTCTCTCTGGAGAGGGAAAGGGCAGTGTGGTTATTTGGAAGTAGCCCCTGGAACACATATTGAGGACTGACATGTGCTGTGGGCTTCATGGCACACAGGGGGATAGACAGCACTGCTACAGGACCAGACAACAAAGTCCTCCTGGTAGCTGTGCTCAACTCCTTTATGGCTTTGTGTGTTCTGGATGTGCAGATACCTGACCTGTCAGTGCCTGGATTTCCAGGTTTTGAGAATGGAATTTCTGATACTGACTCAACAGAGTAACGGTAGAACTAAGCAAGACAGGTTTACTGCTTTAGGGAAAAATGAAATAATTTTAGTTCTCCTTGAGCACATAATTTTTACATAATTACCTTCCAAGTGGAGACATATGGTGGGTAGTGTTTAGACCATATTCCAATACCTGTAAATAAGGAGCATTGTGCCTTTCTGCTTTTCTGTTTTGCTCCTGGCCCTGTAGGGCGGGTGCAGAACACTGGGGTCCAGGAGGCTGACTTTAGAGAGCCCCATGCAGGGCTGTGGGAGGGCACAGGTGCTTCCGAGTTCTTTGAGCCAGGACTATTGAGGAAACAAGTGAAAAAAAGGCATAAAATGGAGCAAAAACAGTGGAGCCTGGTTAGAGGAATCATTTCAAAGTAAATGATCCTGGATTTAAATCACATGTTTGGGGGCTTGGAGTGAGTGTTTCATAACTTCCCTCTGAAAGACAGGTGTTGTAATGAAAACGTTGGCAGCCCAGGCAAGGGTCTTCTGAAGACATCTATGTGTGTGATCTACCTCGCCTTATAGAGATGACACATCTGTGCTTTCATTGCTTCAATTCAGTGGAGCTTTGCCTGTTTTTTTTTTTTTTAAGTTATCAAGATGCTAGCAGTGTCATACCCTAGTGGTGTACCCTAAGCAAAAGCCTGGTGTTTTCCTCCATGGCACAGGACTGAGGAAATTTCCCAACCCAGTCCTGAAGCCAGACTCCACTGTGTATTGGCATGGCCCCTCCTGGCCTGACCAACACCTGGTTCCAGCCCATATTCCAGGCTCAGCCAAGGACATGGGTATGGCTCCAGGTTGCCATTACCTACCTGCAAAGACCTCCTGCCTTTGTCGATTTCCTTGCCACGCTTGCTCTTTCTGCTCCCATCTGAATGCTATGCATCAATCCAGACTCTGCTTAGTTCATTCCCCAGGCTTCAAACTGCCTCCACATAGTAACCTCTGTTGACTCACTCCTTCTCTAAACTGGCACCTTGGTCTGTGCTTTACCCTCAGCACTGAACTCTGTACTGCATGGTCTTTGCCTCTTTCTTTTCTACCCACTCACCTACCTGCCCTAGCTTGCAGATATGTTGGTGTTCCAGCAGGGTCCTTCGTACTGCCTTTTCCCCTTCCCCTGACAGGGGGCTGAACTTGGCAGTGAGTGTGGAGGGAAGGAGTCAGGAACTGACTTTGAAAACCTTCCTGACCTGTTCTACTACCCTGGGAAGTGGCCTGGGGCAGGGGAAGCTATACCCTGCCAGAACAGGGCAGGCAGGGGAGCACATAGGGCATGGTTTATACCCTGGGTACTCCCTTGCTCCCAAAGCAGCACAGCTTGGCCAAAGGGTAAAGATGGGAGGTTAGTCTTCGATGTGCCATACTCCTCTTTCACTGTCCATCACCACTGGCCTTGATGGTCCCTTCCCTGGACCCTACATGCCATAGTCCCACTTGGTTAAAAAAAACAACAACTGTTGGTGTGGGTATAGTCATGACCATGCTGACTTCCATCCCATGCCCTAAATAGGGGAACTGACTCCAAGACCACTTCTGACCCCATGGTAATTATATGGAGACCTGCTAGAGGGTGGCATGTGGCAGCTGGCTCTGCCTGGACACTCTGAAACTCTGGGTCTCTGGGCTTAAGGCCCATTGGTTAGGGCAAATTTTCCCCTGGAGACCACACAGAGCTTATGTCCAAGGCTAAAAATTTAGGAATGTGACAGCTGGAAAGAGAAAAATTGAGCACAGGGATGGTGCCATAGCCCGCCTTGTGAATCCAGCAACCACTGTGCTGACATGTGCTCTGGCCACAGTCGGATCCAGCTGTGTACTGGCTCCATCAAGAAGCTGGGCAGGGCACCCACCCTGCTGGTGTAGGTGTCACTGTGGCCTCTGCTTTCCAACACCAGCACAGGCTAGTCATGCAGGACAAGGCGGGCACCATGCCTGCTCAAGCCATGACTCTCACACCCTGTCAGGTGAGAAGAAAACGAAAAACAATGGCTCGAGTTCCCTCCTGCTTAACTTCATGTTTCCTGAGTTACATCCCAGGGGGCTAGCTGGTATTCACTCTGTTTCTTCTGCTACTTCTGAAAAGATGAGGGAGAAAGAATACAATTCTACAGACATTTACCTAGCACAATGGAATTTTTCTAACCCATCTTGTGGAGCTAGTTCCAAGCACATTCTCATATCACGTTCTCTTCCTGGCCACACTGAACAAACTGGCTCCCTCTGCTTCATTTCTTCAAACACTGTAACTTCCACCTTTAGGTATGAAGTTAGGTTGAGTCAAGTGCAGCTCCAGAGGAAAAGGGCTCTGCTGTACACCTTGAATGGAAAACTTGCTCCAAGTGTAGGAGCCAGGAGCACACTCTGGCTCCTGGAAGATGAACTGATCCTTCATTTAACCAGAGGCCCTGCCTGACCCCTAACAGGAGTATGAGGCCCCACTCCTCCCAGAGCCCCTTCATCCTCCAGGCACTTCCAGCATGGCCTCCAGAGTAGTAACACCTAGTTACCATAGGCTGGCATGGACTCAAACAGGATCAAACTCTTCTCTGTAAAGGCACCTGCTATTTTGTGGTGCAGGTATGAGGGCAGGGAAGGAGTTATACCTTGAGTCTTTGTGAATTGCTGGAAATAAGGCAGTATTGACTCCTCGTGGGCCAGGGTCAGGGCAGCCCTGGGTCTTGGCAGCCTGTTGTAGGCTCTTACCCAAAAGAATACCCATGGCTCCTATTCACATGGCTGGACTTACCTGCCACCTGTGTCACTAGTGGTTAGAAAGTGTATTCTGGTCACATGCCTTGAATTCTCCTACCTGAGTGACTAGATGGTACAAGGTAGGCCAAGAACCTGTTGTCATGGTGAATGTTGGATGGTCATTGGGCATTCCTTGCTCCTCTCTCTCTGGCCCCTCAAAAATGGGCAGCCAGGAAAAGACTGGGACCACATTGGGGCAGATGTGGTAGCCAGCTCTTGGAAAATACTGCTGCTATACAAAGTTTTTCAATAGAATCTTCAGACAGCGTGTTACCTTTTGTTGTGTTTTTACCACACCATTCATATTGGATGCCCTGCTAGAAATATCTGACCAGTTTGAATACATTGTCAATTTTTTAATGTGAGTGCAGGCTGGAAGAGCTCAGAAAGCTGGATGTAGCCTGTGATCATTATTTAATGAAGCCCTCTCTCCCACTTTCTCACTTAGCTCAACGACTCTGCCAAGGAGCTTATTGAGATGGACAAGCTCTGCCCAGCTGCTGTATCTGGCTGCCATGCCTCATTGCCATCTGACCCCAGCACAGTGGCCAGTATGGCCCCATGTCCCACTTTAAGCAGCACAGGAGCAGTCAATGCCTTTCAACAGCATGCAGATGGCAAGAAGAACACCAAGAAACGCCATTCCTTTACCACATTCAGTGTGACACACAGGTCCTCACAGGCCACCAGCCACAGGCATTCCATGGAAATTAGTGCTCCAGTTCTGATCAGCTCCAGTGATCCCCGGGCTGCAGCCAGGATTGGGGACCTGACTCATCTGTCCTGCAGTGCTCCTGCCCAGGTAATGTCCTTGGGGCACAGACAGGGAGGAGGTGGGCATCCGTCCCTGGGTCTGAGGGCTCTATCCTCAGCTTGGAGCTCAGCATCCTGTCCCTTGAACTAGCATGAAGGAGGCTAAAGCAGCAGACCCTCTGGGGTAAACTGTGATTCCCTTTTTACTGCCTGGTCTCCAGGACTCACTGAGTTTGGTAGTCATGTCTTCCTGTCACTAACAGAGTAAATATGTGACTGATGCTCTCAACATTTGGCGAGGTGCTTTTCAATGGTCCATCATACCTTTGAATAACATTATCCCATCTCAGCTTGCATTCAGTCTATCTGATGGTGTTATGGAAAATATCTTGGTTTAGTGCTAGGATGCTTTTAGGAGTTAGCACTTGTCAACTCCTTTCCCTTTCAACAGAGAGTGAAAAAGCTAGAGCTCAGAACCAGAACTGACTACATTTTTTAGTCCTTATATCAACATTCTAACAGATATTTCATGGCACCAGTTCTACTTCCACCAGTCAGATAAAGGACAGGAGAGGACTGAGGGGAAGGTGGCCTTATCTTCAGTTAACCAGCCAGGGCTGCTGGGCATCTGGTCTCTACATCCTGCCATTTGTGGGGATTAAGTCCAAAGTTCACACCCTAAGTGTTCCCTGGAGTTCTGAAAACAAGCAAGCAGGGCCCACAGGTGTCAGCAACCCATGAGTGTCACAGTCTGTGCTCTGTGGTCTGGCTCTGCTATACTCAGCTCCCAGACCAGGAAGGGAACAGATTTTTTAAAAAGTTGTGTGGCGAGGAAGATGGCGGCTTTACTCTAGGCAGCGTTTTTCTTGGCTTCTGTGAAGAGCGGGGAAACTCGCAGATCAGTGGAGAGGCAGAGCAAGTGGGCTGGGTTGCCGAATCACTTTTGAAAGCAGGACATCAGAAATTATTGCACTCAATTGAAAACCAGACGGTAAGGAGTCTGATACAGGACAAAAGGGGCCCAGGGATCAGCGCGGGGTCTGGGGGTGCGCAGACCCCAGGCCCGCCCAGTGCTCCGGGCTCTGCCCCAGGGCTCCCGGGAGAGGGAAGCCTCTGCTCCCTCCCTCCCCTGAATATGGGGGTGAGCAACTCCAGGGGAGAACATGTTGCTAGAAGGAACAGATTGGCCAGTTGGACTGAGAAAAAATGGCCCAGGGAATATGAACACCCACCCAGAGACCAAGGAGAAGTGAGAGCCTCTAGCCGACAGGACCAAGGGCATTTCTAGGCCAATGGAAGTGCAGATCAGTGGAGAGCACCAAATGGCCACGCTCGGCTCGCGCCCCATAGGGAGGCCGGAATCTCGTGCTGCGATCCCGGGAGGGACATGGTGCTGGGTGCGTTCCTGCAGTGGTGGCTCAGAGATTTCCAGCCAGCCCGACCTGGGGAGCCGGGAAAGGCGCCAACACCCGGTCAGTCGGAGTGCAGTACGGTGGGGAACACAGAGCTGGAAATGGCTGGGCTTGCGCACAGTTGTCGGGAAGACTGACTCTCGCACGCCAGTGTGTTCGGGAGCTCCCAGGGTACCTGACAGACTTGCTGAGATCTGGTTGTGAGAGAGAGAAGCATTTCAAAGGCCCCTTAGCCAGCTGAAGCTAGCAAGATCAGAAAAACTGGTCTGGCCAGTTAGAAACCAACAAGAGGGGTTTTTTTGTTTGTTTGTTTGGGGTTTTTGTTTGTTTGTTTGTTTTTGTTTTTTTTGGTTTTGTTTGGTTTTGTTTGGTTTCTCTGGCTGTTGTTGATTGATTGATTTTATCTTCTGTTTTATGTGACTTTTTTTTCAATTCTTATTATGTTTATCTCGCAATCCCTTATGTTTCTCTTCCATTCAACCTAATATTATTCTTTCCACTACAAATTTATCTCTCCTTCACTACATCTTCTGCTTTTCTTTCCTTTTTTTTTAATCTTGCAAGTTACTGTAAATTTGTATTATCTTTTTCTCACTTTTCTGACATTTTTTATTTTAATAATATTTGGGTATTCTTTTCCTTTCTGTATAATCTTCTTTGCTTGGCTGGTTATACTGTCATTTGATAGGTTCCCCCTGGTATCTCAGTCACAAGGTGTTGATAAGTTACTATCCTTCATCTGTGTTCCATTAATACACCTCTCAAAGTTCTATACTCTTTATTATTGTTATCTAGACCTCATCGATTCTGCCACAAGACTGTCACTTTACTATTACTGCTAGTAAGACCTAGTCTATACAATTGTAAGTGCTTCTCAATACCCCTACCTGATCTCAGCCCACTTTGCAATTTTCTGAACTATACTATTGTGGGGGTTGTCTCTATTCTTTTACTCACTACTCCTATATACTAATCTTCAGTCCAACCCTACCTTAGAAGCTGACCTCCCACAGCCTCACAGCTTTCTAGATCCAACTAACAATCCTCTCGTCCCCAATAAGAGTCTTACCTTCTTTCCATCCTTTCTAAAACGTGGACAGTGGGGTGGAGGATCACGGTTAACACTATAAGGAGCCAAAGGATAACCCATGTCTTCTCTACTGGCTGCTAAAGTAAATATCATAGTATACTGTCTTGCTGTTTTAAACCATTTTGCCTTACTCCTCCAACTGATCACAAAAAAGAGTAGGGGGAAGCTGTGAACACCAGGATACACAAAGGAGACTGCACCACTGAATCTCACAGGCATTCTAACACAGAGGTTCACACCATAATTACAGGGAATCAGAACAGTTCAAATTAACAAACAAGAAGAAAAAAGAAGACACCCACGAACAATGAGAAAACAAAGAAACAACCCCCAACTGAAGGGAAACAAGGAAGCCTCAGGAAAAATGCTAAATGAAATAGAGGCAACTCAACTATCAGATAGTGAGTTCAAAACAATGATTACCAGGAAGTTCAATGAACTCACAATGAGCTTTCAGAAATTAGAGGGAAACTACATCAATCTCACTGCAAACTATATAAACATGAAAAAGGAAATAGAAACTCTCAACAAGGGTCAAGAGGAAATGAAGAATACAATTTCTGAACTGAAGAACACAGTAGAAGGAATGAAAAGCAGGATTGATGAAGCAGAAGATCAGATTAGCGAGCTGGAGGACAAAGTAGAAAACAGCATCCAGAAAGAGCAAGAAAAGGAAAAAGAGGCTCAGAAAGAATGAAGAGGGATTAAGAGAAATGCAAGACAATATGAAACGTAATAATATCCGTATAATAGGGATACCAGAAGGAGAAGAAGAAGAGCAAGGGATTGAAAACCTAGTTGAACAAGTAATGAAGGAGAACTTCCCTAATTTGATGGGAGAAAAAGTCATACAAATCCAGGAAACACAGAGAGTCTCAATCAAGAGGAACCCAAAGAGACCCACCCCAAGGCACATCATAATTAAAATGACAAAATTTCAAGACAAAGAGAGAATCTTAAAGGCAGCAAGAGAGAAAAAGGAAGTAACATACAAGGGAGCCCCAATAAGGCTAACAGCTCACTTCTCAAGGAAACACTTCAAGCCAGAAGAGAATGGCAAGAAATATTCCAGGTAATGAGAACCAGAGGTCTGCAACCAAGGCTACTATATCCAGCAAGGCTCTCGATCAAGATGGAAGGCCAAATAAGAAGCTTCCCAGACAAAAGAAGTCTAAAAGTATACACCTCGACCAAACCAGCTCTGCAAGAGATTCTAAAAGGACTGCTTTAAGGAGCAGAGAAGAAAGGGAGAGAGAGAGAGAGAGGAACACACGTACATAAAAGACAATAAATAAGTACCTATCAATAATAATCTTAAATGTAAATGGATTAAATGCTCCAATCAAAAGACATAGAATAGCTGATTGGATAAGAAAAAATGACCCACATATCTGCTGTCTACAAGAGACCCACCTCAGGATAAAAGACCTACCCAGGCTGAAAGTAAAGGGCTGGAAACAAATCTTCCAAGCAAATGGACAGGAAAAAAAAGCCAGGGTAGCAATACTAATATCAGACAAAAGAGACTTCCAAAAAACGTCCATAAAGAGAGACCCAGAAGGTCACTTCATAATACTCAAGGGAAGAATCCATCAAGAAGACATAAATATTATAAATATATATGCACCCAACATAGGAGCACCGAAATACATGAAGAAAATCTTAGAGGACTTCAAGAAAGATATGGACAGCAACACAATTATAGTGGGAGATTTTAACACCCCACTATAAAAAATGGACAGATCTTCTAAACAAAATATCAGCAAAGATATAGTGGCATTGAACAATACACTTGATGAAATGGATTTACTGATATATACAGAGCCCTCCATCCAAAAGAAGCTAAATATACATTCTTTTCAAATGTACACGGAACATTCTCAAAGAGAGACCACATGATAGGACACAAAACAAGCCTCAAGAATTTCAAGAAAATTGAAATCATACCAAGCATTTTCTCAGACCACAAGGGACTGAAGCTAGAAATCAACCTGAAGGAAAAAAAACAAAAACACTCAAAATCGTGGAGATTAAATACCATGCTATTAAACAATGAATGGGTGAAGAATGATATTAGGGAAGAAATCAAAAGGTTTCTGGAAACAAATGAAAATGAACTCACAACAACCCAAAACTTATGGGACACAGCCAAGGCAGTCCTGAGAGGGAAGTTCATAGCGATACAGGCCCACCTAAGAAGGTTAGAAACATTCCAAATAAACAACCTAATCTTACGTCTACAAGAACTCGAGGAACAACAACAAAGGCAGCCCAGAGCAAGCAGAAGGAAGGAAATAACCAAGATCAGAGCAGAATTAAATGACATAGAGACTAAAAACACAATTCTAAGGATCAATGAATCCAAGAGCTGGTTCTTTGAAAAGATAAACAAAATCGACAAGCCTTTAAGCAGACTCATCAAGAAAAAAAGAGAGAAGACCCAAATAAACACAATCAGAAATGAAAGAGGAGAGATTACAACAGATACCACAGAAATACAAAGGATTGTAAGAAATTACTACAAAGAGCTGTATGCTAAGAAATTTG